CATGATCACACCATGTCTTCCTTTTTTCTCTCACCAAAAACAAGTTATCAGAGGAATATAAATTAGAAGGCAGTTTGCAACAAGAAGGATCGCTCTCTCTTCGTAATTCCAATTTCTATTGTTTTAGTTTTTAGGCAGAAATATTCACCATGTAAAAGTGGTAGTTTCTCACACTGAGGAACTACCACACCATTAGTTTTAGGTGTTGTTTTTCTTTTATTTCCATTTTGTATCCAATTTTCAAGCGTGCCGACATTTTCTGAATTCCAGTGTTAGCATTAATTTCAGTTTCCATTTTCTGCATTTACAGGTTCTTCATTTTACCGCTTTATTATTATTATTATTATTATTATTATTGCTATTATTTTTTATCGCATTAATTATTATTACTATTTTGTTTTTCAAATTTAATTTCTATGTCGTTTTTCATCGTAACTATAATTATTCATGCGTTTTTAATTAGCAACATGTCTGCCTAAATATTCTTGAGTCCGGAGTATGAGGACCGTTGTTGCCAACAGACTCGTTAGAAAATAATAGGTGCAAATTTATGATTAGAATTCTGTTTTGGTTTTAATTTCCAAGTCTAATTTAAATAGCCTTGTCACGAGAGTGAAAGATTATTTAACATGATTTTGCCACGAGAGTGGGAAATTAATTAAGGTTTAAGCCGAGACCGCGAGAGCGTGAGGAGCAAACCGGATAGTGGAAATTAGGCAACAAATCTAAATACAGTGAGAGCGCTTTAGACGTGTTTAAGATATAATTGAATTTCAAAATATATTTCTTAGTTACCGGGCGAGCGAGAGCAAAATCTTGGGACTAGGAAGTATGGCTTTAGTTAATAACGCGAGAGCGTGAGACAAAGTCTTTAAGTTAGTATATTCTACGGAACTAAGTTATAGTCGTTATTAGTACCCGTTTTCTATAAGTCCTTCAGGAACGCGGAAGTCATATTCCGGTATCTCTTTATTATTATATTTTCTAAAGTCATTTTTAGCTTTAGTTCTTAATTTCTCCCAAAAATCCAATTATTCATTAGCCTTAGCTTTACAAAGTAGTGATAGATTGCAGTAGGTTGATATTGGTCTCTGTGGTTCGACAATCTTTTATATTACTTCGATATTTCTGTGCACTTGCGGAATTTACCCATCAATAGTATTTTTTTAACTATGTATGCATTCACAGGGTGTGGAAAATCTTCACCGTCCATGGTGGTCAGTATCATAGCGCCGCCAGAAAATATCTTCTTGATTACAAATGGCCCTTCGTAGGTGGGAGTCCATTTTCCCCTGGGATCACCTTGTGGTAAGATGATGAGCTTTATTACCAAGTCGCCAGTTTGATATACCTGATGTTTGACTTTCTTATTGAAAGCTTTGATCATACGCTTCTGATACATCTGATCGTGACAAATAGCTGCAAGCCTTTTCTCATCAATCAAGTTCATCTGGTCTAGTCTAGTCTAAATCCACTTGTCTTTGTCTAAACATGCTTCTCTCATAATCTGTAGAGAAGGAATCTGAACTTTGACAGGTAGGAAAACTTCCATACCATAGACTAAGGAGAATGGAGTCGCCTTAGTTGATGTCTGTACTGAGGTGTGGTAGCCATGAAAAGCAAATGATAACATCTCATGCCAATGTTTGTATGTCATTGTCTTCTTCTGTATAATCTTTTTGATGTTCTTGTTGGCGGCTTCTACTCTGTCATTCATCTTTGGTCGATACGGAGAAGAGTTATGGTGCTTGATATTGAACTACATGCATAGTTCCGTGATCATAGTTTTGTTAAGTTTGGTACTATTGTCTGTGATAATCCTTTCGGGGATGACATACCGACAGATAAGGTTATGCTTAATGAGTTGGGCCACAATATTCTTGGTAACAGAGGAAAATGAGGATGCTTCGACCCACTTCGTGAAATAATCGATTGCAACTAGTATGAAGCGATGTCCATTGGAAGCGATCGACTTAATCTCTCCAATCATATCAATGCCCCACATTTCAAACGGCCAAGATACAATCAAGATATTCAGAGGAACCGGAGGCACATGTACTCCTTAATCTCATACAACAATGTCAAACATGATAGACTAAAATAAACACGAAACACGACATTGCCCCATTGGACGTGTCAATTTGTTTACCGTGAAAATTGGTAAACAACCGCCAGTCTTCCGAATTCTAGAAATTCTGGTTACTTACATGATAGACTAGATTAATCCTAGGACATGTGTTGCATTTCGTTGGTTTATATCTTTCGAATGTTCATCTTTTCAAAAGTTATGATTAATGTGTAAATGACAGAAATTCTATGTAAAGTGATTACAGGAAGATAAAAGGATTTTGACTTAAAAGTAAAAGGAACAAAAATGATTCTAGTAAAAGTAAACTGACAATTAAGTAAAATATGGTGATTCATACATGCATTCTCAATGACTCTTTTCTCTAACACTGATACTTCGAGTTTTATGAGTAATTTGTACAAAAGTGAGCACACTAAAATCTAACATAAAGATCCTAATTTATACTACTTCGACCATAACGATCTTTCACTAAAGGAGTTCCACGTTTGATGTTGCATGTCTCTTTAATCCTCAAGCTTCCACGCGTCCTTCTGGATAAGATCAAATAATTTGAATTCAAATTCGTCTTTGATTCAAAGCGCCAAAACCACAACGTGACCTGTCGAATTGTTTGAATTCGAAACTTGAATTATCTTAATTCTTATATATTCCACAATAATAAGACTTCATCAATACTTAATAATTTTCAACCTTTACTTAGTCAATCAGTCGAAGACCATAGGCAACATCCTTCACATTTCCTTTTAAAATTAACTTCTCTTCGATATCCTTTTATTTTTCTTCCATATTATGAGCCGTTGAAATTCCCAGTCAACACGTGTCCCATCCATATCTGGTATAAAATGCTCCAGGAAATTCACCTAGACTAGCTCATCAGGAGATTCTAAAGGCGGAGCGTGCTAAGGCCGATCATACTCATGACGTGTTGCTTAGATGTCGTCGTATCATGGAGATTGGACATGTATGTATTGATGGATGACTATTTCCTGATGGCTCTGAGGTTATAGGTGTTCTAGATGCCATCAGACTCGGGAGGCTCTGCAGTACAAAAAACAGCAGAGGAATACCAGAAGGGTCACAGACCGACTCAGAGTCCGCCATATGCAGTAGTCTTCACATTTGTATATCGTGTATTGTATTTTGGTTTAATTAATATTTTGTTTATCGACTTTGAATTGTATTTAAATGATATTTTAGTTAACGACTTAATCAATTTTGGACACAATTTTTAGTGTTGACTAATATAATATATTATATTCATTTTATAGTTTCCAATATTTAAAACAATGAAAATTAATTTGTATCATAAAATCTAGAGATATATTTTCAGTTTTCTCCTCTGTATACATCTCCGAGATCAATTAAAATTAAAAAAAAAAAAATCCCACAAATACACTTGAATTTTGAGGCCTAAGCTGATCGTGATGAGCTCCGCAACCCAATTCAAAACAAATAAAAAAAAATGAATTATAACCAAAAAAAAAAAAAGGGAGGACCATGCTAATCCGGCAATGCTTACTTCACTTTGCCTCCATTTCTCTGTTACCCGCCTTTACGAAGTACGGCCTTAGAAGCCGTTACTATTTAAGGCTAATTCGAGAGCACAATGCTTACTTCCATTGTTCCTCCTCAAGCTCTCAGAGCTTTTCCGTTCATTTTCGTTAAAGCCAAACGGTGAATTTTCTCGCGCCTCTCTCTTCTCACCTCAACCGCTCAAAACCCTATCACCGTCGATCGTCACCACCATTCGGTTGCTGAAGTTGCAAATTGCTTTCATCTCCTCAACCTCCAGAGCACACGATCTCCGATTCCGCCGGTTCCACTACGATTCTCGAATCAGTAACTCACGCATTTCGTTTTACTTCTCACTATATCTTTTTTGCGATTTTCTCAACGCTTCATGTGTGTGTTTTGTGTTACTGCGTTTCGTTTTCTATATCAATTTAGTTAAATTTGCTATACGTGGAGTTCAACTATTTACAATCGCTGTAACAATCATACATGCATACGTGCTTGATTTATGATCGGTTTCTGTTTACGTTTAACGAACTACGAAATCGTGCGATGTATTTGACTATTAGTTTTCTCTCTCTCACTAAATCTCTTGTTGCTGATTTCCTATCTATGCGATTCAATTCAGTTGCGATCGAACTTCCGAATCTGATATTTTCATGGATCGCCACTATTGATTCTCTGCGTGGCATCATAATGTGATCTTTCTGCAATATGTTTTGATCTATTTAACGTTCCTGATTATATTTAGCATGACACAGTCGGAGAAATTGCGTTTCCATTTTTCTCCGTAATACATAGTTAGGTTAGTTTTTTTCTTTCTACCATTACTCTAGGTGGTTATACTGTTTATACTTTGTTTTCTGGTACGGCTATGATACTTTGAAGCATGTAAAAGCATTTTGGAACTTTTCCTATAACTTGTATTCTTGCACTTGTTATATCTTACTGTTAGTTCATATGCAAATTTCTTTGGCGAGCCTTTGGTTTAAGTATTCTATGTTGGAAATATGATCGATAGGATATTGTATATTACTGGTCTCCTGATGTTGTGAATATGTTTGACAAGATGCCGTGTATTATAATCTTACATATTCTATTATTCAAATTAGTTATTAGTGATTCATATTTTCTTGTTTTATTTCAGTAGATATTTGACATAATTCTTCATCATTAGAGTGCCTTAGAGACTTGTCTCGTTGTTTGACATTTGCACCTGGATAATTTTTCTTTTCATTTTATAACCTCATAAAACATATATAATTTTTAACGACCAGTATAGTTTTTTGCTGGTGGCTGGATTTATAGGTAGTAAATTCTATTCCCTATATTTTTATTTGGAATATTACAGCTTTATCATACCTGATGCGTGAATCAGGAAATTTTTCAACCTCAAGGAATGGCAGAGCAGCAGAAGGAATCCTCGCCTAAAGATTTTAAAAAGAAAAATTCATTGCTAGGTTTTTCTCTATATTGATTTTTCTTTTATTATGTAGTGAGCATCACTTGTAGACTCTTCCATTTTTCCTTTAACTTGCCAATGTCTGGGACGATTTTTTTCCATGTACATTCCTTTAAGGCTATTATCTTCTGTGCTGTTTCTTTATCCTAAGGGTTGACACGAGATTCTTTGATATCTCTCAACATGTAAATTTGTGTGAGATTGCATTCTAATCTACACTCCGAAAAAGTAAATACACACACACAGTTTCATTTTCCAGAAGTTATCTTTAAACAATAACACTGATGTCACATAAGTTTTAATTTTTCTTTTCCTTTGGATTTTTTTATAATTCAAGCAGATGATGATTTCGGGACAGAATTTCTTGGCTCCTGGAAACCCATGTCAATGGCAGATGATGATGCTATGGATTTTAGCTTTAACACAGGTTCTAAAAGCAAGAAAAAGATATTCGACTTTGAAAAAATGTAAGCACCCCTTATGTTAGGACTCTGATACTGGTTTCAAACTTCTCTGATTTAAAATGTTTTAGGTTGATATATTCCATGGTCAGTCTTGCAGATGAATTAAGTGTGCAGTAGTTTGGTTATTATGCAGATTTACAATGGTTATGATTGTTTATGTAAAAGAATATTTCATTTAAGGAATATATTATATAGATATACATATATGCTTATACAATGCATTTGCAAGTTTGTAGTTCCTTACTAATTGTTACAAATTATCTTTGGTAGGGACATGAATTTCGATCTGGATACTGCTTTTGGCAAAATGTCATCATTTAATGTGGACATGTCAGATCTTGATTTTACATGCCCACCCAAAAAGCCTTCTCAATCTACGGACAAAAAGGGAGAAGCTTCTTGTGCAAAAGGAGGGAAACAAGATGGATTTAATTTCAGCTTTGATTTTAATGAGTAAGTGGGGTAATTATTCAAGGCAATTTAATGTACAAATATGTTATTTTTGAGTCATGCAACGTCAATTTGAGTGATTAAAGGTATACACATATTCTCATATTATCTTGCCTTTTATTGGTGTAGGTTGGATAGCTTCAATCTCAATTCAAACTTACTAAAAGTAGATACTAGTAATGAGGACAGTTACCCGAGAAAGAAAGGAGTTACTGCAGAAGGAAATAATAGTGAAGATGCTAAAAAGCCTAACGTCAATGATGATGACAGAGGTGTTCGTTCATCTAGTGATAATAAGACAACGAAACCTCAAGCATCAGAGAGGCTGGAAACTTTGAACACTGAGACTTTAGTTGGTAACCTAGGGAATCTAGTTTCCAGACAGGATATTTCTGTTTCCAAATTTTCTTCCTCTGGGAACTTTGACACGGAAGTTAAGAATCAGACTTCTGATATTAGTAAGATAGCAAGTATGAAAGAAATGGATCAAGAAAAAGACCTGGCCGAGGAGACAAAGTCAACCAAATCAAAATCTGAGCAGGTTATCGACAAGGTACCTTCCCAGTCAGTCAGTCAAAGTGATTCAGAGCAAGGCACCATCTCAGAAAAGCATACAAAGGTTTCTTTTTCTGGAACAAGACGAATTAATGTTGCAGCTGATAAACAAGTGATTAATGGTAAGGCAACATTTGTAGCTTCCGATGTTGTAGACTTACAGTTAGAGCATTCATCCCTACTTCTTACCTCTGAATCAGATGACATTGTTAGAGAAGCAATTAATCCAGGTAGCAGTGCTGAAGAAGTTTCTAATGACACTCAACAAGAAAATAGTTATTCAAGTTCCGGAAATATCACTAAAGTTGATTCCTTGAAGAAGAACTCATGTGACAATAGCATAAGAGAAAATAAAAGAACAGCTTTGGAGTGTCACTTGGCTACAGCAAGCAGGTCGAACTGTTACTTTTCTTTTTATGATCATGTCTTTGTAAGTTTTTATTTTAAATATTATTAGCTGAGTTGCTGAAACTCGTTTTCTGCAAGGTAGCAAAGGCATAATGAATTTTGTTTTTAGAAGTATTTACTTTTTTTCACAACTTTCACTCATTTAATACAGTAACCCCATAGTTGATAAAGTCACGCTGATGAAAGATAAAGATCTCCAAGTGAAGAAGTCAAATATAGTCAGTATGCTAGAGAACAAAAGGCCTTTAAAAAATCCTTCATCAACATCTGGAACAAAGAGTGCAGTCTCCTCCGACTGTAAAAAAAATGCTGACATACACCTGAGATCCATAGCCCAAGAAAGGTGTGTTATGCTACCTAAATAAATGTATTTGCTGGCCTTTCAATTGTAGAATGTCTTATATATATATATTTTCCTCAACAGGAACAGCTTCAAATCCAATGAGACAAAGTTTCGGAGCAAAATGGTAAGCGATTCACTCCTAGGTTCTAGCAAAGTAATTAGGGATGCACCAGCAGTTCTTGGCAGCAAAGATGATCCTAAAAGTTGTAATGCCAGGTAATATCTATGCTCCTGGATTTCAGTTATACGGGAAGCTTCTTATTTTATAAACACAAATTTTGCAACTGCAAAGATGATATCTTTGTGGAAGTTTGGTTATTACTTCACAAATAATGAATGTAACTGTAACTTCCGATCATGATCAGGAAGGGCATTGTTTTGGATGGTACACCAAGTGCAGGAAAGTTGGCTGGAAATATGAAATCATTTCATGAAGATGTAAATAAAAGAAAGGCCGTGTTTCTAGAAACGGGCATGTCAACAAAAAATGTTAATATTTTGAGGTAAGGCTTCTGCTGTTGAATGCTGACTTTTGTTAGGCAAGTTGGTGGCCGAACTAAAAATCATACCAGAAACCAGAAGCTAATTTGTGGATATGAATATGAATTTGTGTTGGTTGGTTTTGCTAACAGGCAACATTATAAAATCATATAAGCGGTACTTGCCAATGCTTTATTTAACTAGATGTAAACCCATGTGTCTGATGAGTTAGAAAATAAATTTGGTTTGAACTTTGTTTAACTATAAACATGTTCTAAGTTCTAAAGTTTACACAGTACTCATTATGTGTCGAGTTATATCTGTCATAATTTTAACACAGCTCACTTTACAACCATATCATGACAACTTTTTCCCAACATTCTCTCAATGCCTTGTTCTTGTTCTTAAACTTTTGGTTGTTAGATTGGTTCTTGTTTGTGCATTTGTTATCACTTAGTGTCTTTTCCATAATTATAAGAAAATATGGGGGAAATAAACAATGAAAAAAAAGAAATCAAAATACCTATGGTAGGGTATGAAAGGAGGTTGCAATTGCAAGTAAGAAACATTAAGAAGAAATCAAATTGATGCATAGTAAATAGCACTGGCATTTAAGTTTGCATTAATATGATAAAACATGTAAGTAACTTATGTGATTAAGCTGATAAAATGATACAAATACTAGGTAAAAAAATGCTAATGTAAAAAACCCACCGACTGTGTTCTTTATCATCTTTATAACCTACTGAAAGTATGATAGGCTGTTCATGGTTACCACAATGGCTAGAAAGCATAGTACGTGCACCTCATTGTCTGCATCATATCCTATTCTTTCAAGTATGAAGTATCTCCTGCAAAACACTGCAGTTCCATTTTACCACCATGATTGTAATTCATTTTCAGTACTGATATGATTTGATGAATGCTTAATGAAGTTGATTTAATCTTCCAAATATGAGTTGACAATAATGGCCAAGGTACTTTTATGGCAAAACAGTAGAAATTCAAGTTGTTGAAATGACATCTTCATAGCTAGGAGTTCAGTATGTCACAATAGATGTAGCCAAAGAAATATGAGTTTCATTTGAAGGGCTTTTGATAGTGCAGAGAGGTCAAATGCTTGATGTTATGGATTGAAATAAATTATTGGATATTGTAAAATTCGTCACACATAGATGATCCCTGATTCATTTTCTTTGTGAAAATTTTCAGTTCTCAGGTTAATCCTTGCAGCTCAACTGAGAAGACAGCTAAACTTACTACTCAGATATCTCTAAATTCTCAACCTGAAGCTTCAGGCAAGGAGTCCTTTCAGAAATCAAAGATCACCCACATAGAAGGAAATAAACTTTATTCTTTTAAAGCTTGCAAGATCACACCTGTTTTTTCTAGTGTAAAAACTTCAAGGTCTGTACCAAGTTAGTTGCTTTTGTAAAACTCTTGTGGAGGTTTTGATTGACGTCCTTTTCTATCTCAGGAACATTGAGGCTAACTCAGTTTTAGCAACGTCTTTACACCAAAAAGAGGCAAACTCATTGGCAAGTTCTGAACAAAGAAAAGAGACACATGCTATTTTAGCATCAAACGGTGATCATCTGACTGACAGTGGTGATAATCAAAAGGCTTCAGCCCGGTTCTTGAAGAGGAAAAGTATTGAGGTTTGATATGACTTTTTTACTTTTGAACAATTGATGGAAGAAATTATCACTAAATGATTTGATGCCCATAGCCTATGCCTTTTCTCCCTTTTCCCTCAATGTCAAAGCTGCAACTGTCTTCATTTAATGTCTCCTACTGCACACTTTTGGTGAATAGATATTCACCTTGGCCCACATTCAACTGCATAATTGGAATAATTTTATTTTTCCATTGAAGAAAAGATAATGACAAAAGTAATAATAATTTAAAACTTCCCTGCTATATTACTCTAATAGGAGGATTCAGTACCTTCCAATGAAGGAAAGAATCATCCTAAAGAATTTATTATAACACCTATAACTAGGACTCTAATTTGCAGATTTCTGAAGCAGATTTAACATCCTTGAGGCCCCTAAAGCGCCTACCTCAGTCTCCAATCAGAAGCAGGTCCTGCAGAACAAATTGATCGTATTACCTTTTTTTTTGGTAGCATATATTTTCTGTTCTTTATTTTATTGGTTTTTCTGAGTAAAGTCGTTCTTAATAACTCCAGAAATAATGAATCTAAAGAATCTTCAGGAAAAGTTGAGCAGGTAAATTAACAGATGTTGGCATTATTTTATCTGTTCTGTTGACTTTTATTTTGATGATTACGGATAAATGCTAGGATATTTAAGTGTGATACTTGTTAGTACTAGTTTTCTTTCTTCTTTATCATATATACACATATATTAGTCTAATTCCCTTATATTGCAAAATCAGGTAGAGAGAAAGTCCAACGACTTAGCCTACTATGATTCAACCTCTGGACTTGAAAGTCCATCAGAGATTAAAGTAACAGAAGTTGAAATACCTGATTCCGTACTCATGGAAGACAACGGTAATGTTGAAAAGGCTGAAGCATATATGAAGGAACTTGAAAATGTGAGTGATCGAAATCTATAGACAAGATCATAAGTTTTACTAATATAAATTAATCAATTTACTGGATTTTCAAACTCTAAAGAAAAACAACAAGGATATGTTTGGTGGCTAAGATAAGAAATAAGACATGAGGCATTATTTTACCTTATTATACAGTACTGTTTACTGAGACAATATGACAAGTTTACCCTGTTAGCTAGAATTGGAAGAAATAATTTGTTACATTAAAAAAAGCAAAATGACACTTTTTTGGGACATCTTAATATTCTAAAATTAATTTGGGATGGAAGCAGTACCTTCTAATCTATTATTTGGAGCACATCAAAAATTAGATATGATAACATCTTATTAGGCTCATACGGTATTTCATTCTATCTTTCCTTATCATGCCTTCGTCACCAAATGAGCCCCAATTATGTTTAGGCATTAGAACTGGTATTGAAAAATGAAGAACATAAGATATGCTGCTGGTTACTAAGAAATAGATTTTATTGAAAGGTAATAGTTTCCTTTAGCCATAAGTTCAGACCTACGAAAACAGTTCGGTAGAATTCAGCAATTTATGTGAGCTGATTGCGAAGGTTAAATTTTACTTGACAAACACTGTCTACCTACTGCGGTTACCATTTAATAATTAGTGTGTCCCCTGTTTTCAGTGTCAGTTCCACCAAAATAACTCCATGCTCAAAATTTTAGTTACTATGAAAACGTTTATTTAATCACTATCACTATATTGACATTTTGAAAACAAATTTACTGTACAAAAAAAAAAAAACGAATTTCACGAGTATCATAAAGTTCAAAGCAGTGTGTAGAAATTTAGAATTGACTTTTGTTTCTCCTGAATAATATAACATGTAGTATCTCACGTTTTAGAATTTGAGAGGAAGCATGTTATTTAGACAAATTTCTGTGTTGGCCCGAGGCTAATTAAAAAGCATGCAAGGAAGTATACTTGTATCTCCTTTTATAGTACAATTTCTAGTTCCTTAATACACAGAGCTGGTCTTTATGTTTAACTGTTTGAGTAAAAAAGAAGTTTAGCTGTTCGTACAAGCAAACCAAATGATTTCATCACTTAATGATTGAGTAGTTTTATGCGCTTGCATTGATTTAAAATTTGAGTTTTTTTAATAGAACTGGATGGTGATGAATTGCCTTTTCCATCCATGTATCTGTTATAATAAACAGAAAAATAAAACTGCACCTCGGGGATTTCTTTTTAAATGTGATTATTTGCAGATTTGTAACATGCTGAAAAAAAGGCACGAAGAAGCAAAAGAGTTATTAGTGCGAGCTGTTGTCAACGACAATAACCTGCTGATGCTTAATCATCCTATTTATGAAGAAAAAATATCCTTCCATTCTTCTTTTTCAGTCATATCTTCCTACCTTATCTATTTGTTGATATTAAAGCTGGTTATTTCCTTAGCATTTTTTTTACATTCAGAAGGTTCAGAAATTTGCTTCTCAATTGATGTCAAAGGAGATTCAAACTTGATCAGCAATAAATTGTTGCATTCGAAGGTATGTAGTCTATTCTGCACTATACCATTTATTGGGTTTATAATCACCACTTAAATTTAAGGACAGAGTACATTTTAATAGAAATGTAGAAAGAGTAGAGAGAGAGAAGAGAGAGAAGAGAAAGTTAGTTGCAACTGATTTTGTATTTCTCAATGTTAGTTACATCTCAAGATAAGATTGAGTTTATATAGTGAGGCTATGCAGTCTAAACTTAATAGTTTAACTACTTACAAGTATATTCTTTAGTCTATTTCTACTATGCTATATTTGTATTACTCTAATATCTCCCCCTTAAGATGAAGGTCCTGTTTGTGGCAGAGACACTTTATCATGAACTTGAAGCTTAGACCTGAGTTGCAAGAACCTAACCTTTGGGGAGAAAGAGGTTTTGTGAGCAGATCTGCATACTGGTTGATCCGCTGTCGCGCACAGATAAAAAACGAGTAAATTTTAAATGTAGTTACGGTAACGACTCGAGTATCGTATCGCGAGGATTCTTGTATTATTATTAATTAATAGGAATCGAATTGGGGGAGTTTGGTTTTAGGGTCGAATTATAAAAACAAATTAAAATAAGTGATTATTCAATAATCTAAAACGGCTAATCGTACTGATTCGAGTTCTGACTTATCATCGGTTATGATAACACCAATTCCTAAACGGTTTCGATCATATTCGATTATGAGATCAATCAGACAAACGCTTATCAAAATCATATGAAATATGTTCCTGTTACCGGATTAAGCAAACGGTTAAGAATATGACGAGTTAGCGAATTAAGCAAACGATAGCACGCAATTAAATTTAGGAACATGCATACAATCGAATTTAATCAATTCTATCCTATGAACAACAATTGAATTAAGCAAACAATTGCAATCAAATTAAGCAAATGATTTCAAAGAGAAGGATTGAACAAAAATCGAATTTAAATTGGTATTAGAATAATCTCAAAGTAATGGAACCCGTAAGCAACAGGATTTTCCTTCAGGAATTAGTTCTCTATACCAAGCGTACAAAGCAAATTATTTTTCGTGAATAATGTCTAACAACCTCCCTAGCGGCTGCAAGCCTTATAAAATAAAATAAGGGTTTCCACTTACAAAACGAAGCAGGTCAAAAACATAATCTATGGCCACTAAAAAGACCCAAAAACAAATTATTCTAATGCTGCAACTTCAACGAATTATTCAAGTCTGCTACAGTCCGAATTAGCTTCTGGCTCCAACATGAAAGTTGCAGCTCTTTCTCTTAGCTTTCCAACGCATATTATAACGCCTCGATCCGATTTCTGTAGCTCCAGTTATGAATTTTTCAATGAAAGCTGCAATTATTGAAAATTAAATCGAAAATCAAATTAAACCAAAAATAAACTAAATTAGAAAAATATTATAAAACACAAAAATACACAAAGTAAAATATATAAATGATTAAGTACAAACATGGAATAATGTGCATCAAAATGCAGTGATCAAATTCCCCCATACTTGAACTTTTGCACTCCGAGCAAAATAAAATCAAAAACTCAAGAAACACAACAGCATCATCAGTTACTAATTCCAGGCTACAAACTCTTCTTCGGTTAAGACTGCATCGATAGGTACTAATCTTGCATACTAAGGATATTGTAGGAACACTACTCCGCAATTGTGCAATCATAAGCCTCCTGAATATACAACCCAATTTGAATCATGTTATTAAGCCAAAGCCTAACTTGTTCATCCTCCTTTTTGCTCTCTTTCATTCTGGCGCAATCACATTAAGCCCGTTATCTCCACACACTCATAGTAAGACGACCGGTTAGTGACTCTGATCCTTTTTGTATGGGGTTCTGGTACATGAGTGGTATAACCCTTTGCTTATCCAATTGTAGTTGCGGGGGATCATACCGTAATTCGCCCTACCAAGTTCAGCACCAGAAACTTCTGAACCAACCAACAACGGGTCTGATAATCAAATTTTGCAAGTTCCACAACCGTTGGGTTAAGTGACCGGGTGAGGGTTACCAAACTTAGAAGGTGCATTCCCTATTTTTTTTAAAAATAAACTTGGATCACTCACTTATATTCATTGGCTTCCCTACGTAGAGCATGTGTGAGATGGTGCTGACTGCTAAGATAAACTACTCAAGAGCTGTTAGAGAATGAGAATTCAAGGCTATGTCATAATAAATATTCAAATTAATTTCCATATGCAGAAGACTTACGGTGTTAAGACGATACCGATCTTGCGAACTTTTCACAAGTCTCCACAACTAACCTCAGATTAATCTTATAACCCAAAACTTTCAGAAAGATGCATTTTTTTAAATAACTGAAAACAAAACAACGAACAAAAGCAAAGAAAACAAAACAAATAAATGATTCTCTCCCCCACACTTAAAACATGCATTGTTCTCAATGAAAGGACATAACTATTAAATAAGAGTGAGAGAAAGGAAGGAGCACACCCGAATAGTCAAGGGGGATAAGTGATCACATTAGCAGCCTTTTCCAAAGAGAGATCTTCTACATTTTCTTCTTCCAAAGTGGGGCTCTCATGGAGTAGCTTTGGGTAATGTCCATTGAACTTGAAATTTTTATTAGTGGCTTCGCCTTTTATTCCAGGATCAAAGAAGAATCTTTGATAAAAGTAAAAGTGTCGAATGAGCACATGATATTCTTTTCCACAACGCCAAAGATCAAAAGATTGAGGGGCTGCCTCACTACTTTTGTTTCATCTTCCACTTCAATTGAGACCCTATGCAAAATCATGGATGGGCTAATATCGGGAATGTCGGCCAAAGTCCACCCAATCGTCTTCTTATGCTTTTTCAAAACCTGCGAAAGCTTATTTTCTTGATCAAAATCAAGGTTAGAAGAAATTATAACTTGTAGCTTTTCATTCATCTCTAAATAAGCATATTTTAGGTTGTCAGGAAGTGGTTTTAGCTCTTGGGAATGTGGTTGTTCGATGGATGGTTTGCTCCGGGCAGCCGGGGTATCGAGAGCTTCATCTATATGAACAACTTCATTTGCAACCTCATTTGCAGTAAGAATATCAACTTGCAAGGCAGCCTCAATTTCAGCACAAACAGAACAAATTTTAGTGTCAGTACAAACATCACAAGAGTAAACATCATCAAAACTAGACAACGATGAAAAATCAGCTGCAAACAAATCAATACAAGTATAATCAATAGTTTCATAAAATAACCCTATTGGAAAAACATAATTCTCTTCCAAGGGTTGTTGGTTAGATCCTTGAGCTTGTTGCATGATATTCATCGAAGAGGCAAGCTGTTCAATCTGTGTTTGCAAAGTCTGGAGAGTAGAATCTATTTGTTGTTGAAACTGAAGATTATTTGCAGCCATTTGTTTGACAATATCCTCTAGTGAAGGTTCGGAAGATGTAGAGCATACAACCTGAAATTCCTTCAGATGCTTATGTGGATCCTTACCTGCAAGACCATTAAACTTTGACAACAAGTGAATTAAATCATATTTCAATTCAAAAGGTGCATCAGCTGTAGGATAGTAAATACATAAACCATTATAGTTCATATCAGGGGCAGCCAACTGCCTCAAAGTTCTTTGTTCAGCCATGTTATCAATAAACACAGAAATATCAACTATGTCCCAAATAGACAAAAAAGAATAGAAAGAAGGAAAACGATTAAAATAAATTCATAAAAATACAAAAACACCAAATTTAATCTAATAAACTGAAATAAGAATTTTGATAATTTTTTTGAATTTTTTCGACACTGAAAACAGTAAAAAATTAATTAAAAATAGAAAAAAGACGAATTTTCGATTTTGAGGGTCAAAATCCTATAGAATTTTATTCTAGAGGAGTACTGTTCGTCGATTTTTTCTGACTTTGTGTAAAAATTTAGAGCAAATCGAAACAGTAACTTCCAAACTTACCTGATAGGCTGAAAAACTGTACTGCAACCGGAATTACAACCCTGAAAATCAACAAACACAACAAAAAAACAAGAAAAAAAATAGCAAGAACACTATACCTATGACTCTAATATTGGTCAATAACAACAAGAATTCCTGACAACGGCGCCAATTTGATCCGCTGTCATGCACAGATAAAAAACGAGTAAATTTTAAATGTAGTTACGGTAACGACAACTCGAGTATCGTATCGCGATGATTCTTGTATTATTATTAACTAATAGGAATCGAATTGGGAGAGTTTGGTTTTAAGGTCGAATTATAAAAACAAATTAAAATAAGTGATTATTCAATAAGCTAAAACGGCTAATCATACTGATTCGAGTTCTGACTTATCATCGGTTATGATAACACCAATCCCTAAACGGTTTTGATCCTATTCGATTATGAGATCAATCTGACAAGCGCTTATCAAAATTATACGTATTATGTTCCTGTTATCGGATTAAGCAAACGGTTAAGAATATGACGAGTTAGCGAATTAAGCAAACGACAACACCCAATTAAATTTAGGAACATGCGTACAATCGAATTTAATCAATTCTATCCTATGAACAACAATTGAATTAAGCAAACAATTGCAATCGAATTAAACAAATGATTTCATAGAGAAAGATTGAATAGAAATCGAATTTAAATTGGTATTAGAATAACCTCAAAGTAATGGAACCCGTAAGCAGCAAGATTTGCCTTCAGGAATTAGTTCTCCATAGCAAGCGTACAAAGCAAATTATTTTTCGTGAATAATGTCTAACAACCTCCCCAGTGGCTGTAAGCCTTATAAAATAAAATAAGGATTTCCACTTACAAAACGAATCGGGTCAAAAACATAACCCAGACCCACTAAAAAGACCCAAAAACAAATTATTCTAATGCTGTAACTTCAACGAATTATTCAAGTCTGCTACAGTCCGAATTAGCTTCTGACTCCAACATGAAAGTTGTAGCTCTTACTCTTAGCTTTCCAACGCATATTAGATCGCTTCGATCCGATTCCTGTACCTCCGGTTATGAATTTTTCAATGAA